TTAAGAGCTTTTGTTACTCAGAAGTACAACAGAAGGACTTAGTTGTGCATTTGCAACAAACAGTTTCTCTCCAGCTCACCAGATAGCACTGCTGACTCACTTTATACATGGCTAAGTCCTGGGTGCCACTGAAATAGATTTTCTAAGCACGAGTTCCAAGTAAGTCTCACTACCAATTTCCATTCTTTTGAAATCAATACTACATGAATCATGAATGTGTATAGATATGACACATGCCAATTAGTAGATTTGATCTCTTCTGGGTTTTTCACGAGAGGCATCTCGATTTCAATGTTGTGGATTTGCAACGTGTGCCCAAACAGGAACCAATGAATGCTACATGCTTTATCTACTAGTTTGCCTATATTCTGAGCAACAGTTTAACAGAAACGGCCTTCTCAAGAGGTTTTAAGATGTCGGTGGAGAAAAAGTTTGAGAAAAGCTCTCCTTCACATGCTGAATTGTATATTACTACCCCATATGATCATTTATATGACCAAATATCAGATTTTTTCTGCAGCTACAACTAAATTTGAGCCTGAGAGGGATAATTTCAAGATTTCACATCAAGACTGAATTACATGTCTGTTAATACTATGGTATTTTCCTATTTACAAATTATGCAAAAATGACGGCATATACTTTTATGCTGTGTCTGTGCATTAGCCTTTAAAAATGTTTGAGTTGCTTTTTCAAATGAGAAATACAACAAACACTACAATAACAACAGCGTGGTCCACTTAATAAGGAATTAGTACATTGACATTTCACAGTGAATTACTTTCTATTTTCTAACGTTAGACCCAATGTCGATGGCTAACTCAGTCGATATCTTCGAGTCAATCAAAGATAGCCAGAATAATGTTAAGCTACATACTATACTATAAGATACATCAGCGTATTTATGGATTTTCTTGGTTAGTTCATCCACAGACTGTGAAATTACCGGAGAATTGTCAACCAACAGCAAATCACTTGTTTTTGAAGCCAAATGCTACACAGGTAGGCATTTTACTGTGCATCTCAATGGGAATGGGGAGTACCAATATGGCAGCCGGTGGCTTCACTTTTTTCAGGCTATCAGGAATCCAATGAATAAATAGAGATCATTGGAGCCTGTTGTCATACAGCCTCTAATAATCCTGGATTATTAGATCTAATCTGATTGGCTCAGAGCACAGAGGTCAGCAGCTAAACCAGCTGTTCTCAGATTAGACATTTTGATTGTTTCTGTTCAGTCAGTTTTGAACTGAAGGCTTAAAATCAGGATTATAGACGTTTTTTGTTTTAATTAAAAATAATCATGTGAATAATTTCCCTAATTTTACTGCTTCTTTGTGGAGATGTTTGGTTCCCAGTGTCTAAAACTGCTGTTTCAGAGGAAATAAGTTTTTGTGACAACTTAAAAAAGACTAAATCTATGCTTTCTATCTAAATACATTAAACTGAAAAAGTTCATTAAATGTTTTTCTCTTAGACATTGTATTGCTGCATTTAAATGTTATAGAGCTAAACATGTTAAATTGGTGAGTAGTAGTAGTGTAAGTTTTTAACCTGTCAAGTTTTTTTTTAGATTTTTAGCATTACAATTTATATTTTTACAAGCAGTGAGTTCATTATCTGATGCATGCATNAAAACAAACATGTTTCATTGATATATATACAAAAATGAATATTAGGAACTATATTTATCAAACATTATACTGGGCAAGTAAAAAATGTTTCTGGGCAAATGAAATGTGAAAGCCACTTGCCAGAAGGGCATTTTCAAAGTCTGAATGTTTAAAAACTCTTTTTTTCCACTAAATGTGTAGAACTGTGTGACATAGACACAGGAGAGAAACCGTTTCTAGAGGTTGGTGGTTTTTTGTCTGTGTGCAGCTTTGCAGCTGTTCCCCACCTGGCCTACAGGAGGCGCTGCTGCTGAGGCCTTTCAGAGCCTGCTGAGGATTCTGGGACCTGAAGCAGCCATTGAATCGATCATCAGAGCCGTGAGCCTTTCAGAAGACGCTGAACTGAGTGGGTAGAAGATCCAGAAGGTCCGCTCTGGACTCTGGACCCATCATTGGAGGCTCAATCAGAACTTTATTTTTCCTCTCTTGGATGAGACAAAACTATAAAAATAAAAGATTTCAGTGGAAATCAGCAGTCAGCTGCTGGGCCCTTATATCCTCACAGAGTTTCTGTGGTTTTTATTTCCACACTCCAAGGTTTCAGGAGTCTGCAGGAATCACAGCGCTGAACCAAGAGCCTTAGCAGCATGAAGGCACAGGATCATGGGTCCTGCAGCTTCAGGCTGCTTTGACTTCATGCTTGGTGTTTTGCTCTCTGACCTGAACCTGTCAGCAGTGGGACCTTATATAGACAGGCGTCTATATTCCTAATCACATCCAGTCAGATAAATGCACCACAGCTGCACTCCATCTAAACTGTAGAAACATTGAAGGATGATCAGTGGAGACAGTCTGAACCTCAGCTGAGTTTAGAGCTTCATGGTAAAGGCTGTGAATATTTATGGAAATATGATTTATTAGTTTTTAATGAGTAATACATTTATTACAATTATAAAACTAATCCTTTTCCACTTTTTCATAATAAGCCATTTTGTTTAGAATCTAGAGAAGAGATCAATTTAAAGCATTTGGAGAAAGGCTGAAACAGACTGAAAAGTGGAAAAAATCCAGAGCTTTGAAACTTTCTAGAAGGACTCTGATTCAGGGCTTTCTAAGGCTGCTGTCCTGCAGCTTTTAGATGCATCGCTTCTCCAGAACACCAGATTCAGATGAATGGATCGGTACCGGGCCTCTGCAGAGCTGGATGACTGAATGTTGCAGTCTAGAAGCTGCAGGGCAGCAGCTCTGGAGGACTGGACCTGGTTATCCCTGATTTACATGAAGACCAAGGAGAACCTGGATCTGCTGCCAAACAAAGGAGTCAATGTTCCAGCTTTGGATCATAGAGGCTCAGTTCTTGGAATAATTCAACAAGGAGACAAACAGACTTTCTGGAGATGTTGGATGATCTTCACTACATTCTCCAAGCTTCCTCTGAGGTCAGAGCATTAACATCTAAAGTGCTGTCCCACTCTTCATCATCGTTGTCTACTTCAGCACTGAAAACAACCAAAGCCATGATGGAGCAGTCCTTTGTCGTCATGGCGATGAGGTACTGATGGACCTGCAGAGAAAAGGTCAGAAATGGAGAACTAAGATCTGAGCAAAGAAACTTCTCAGCGTCTCAATACTGATTATTTCCATTTGGCTCCATTCATAACAACATCTCAGCTTCACTGACTGAGAAGTGATTAACAAGTGATGCTGTTCTGACCCGGAATGAGATTAAAACATTTGATTCTGTTATATTTAAAAACAAGTGATAAAAATAAGTCAATGAAACAAAAAGCATCACATTAGAACCACATTTAGCTCGAAAGACTGAGTTGTTGTTGCAGCAGGTCTGGAGGAAGAGGAGAACTTTGTGGAGGTCAGCTGATTATTCCTGAACGAACATCTGGAAGAGAAATTTCAGTCAGAGCTGAACGACTGCAGCACTGAGGACATATTATTGGAGTCTTTATTACAGGTTATGTTCTGATCTGAGCAGAGAAAAATACAACCTGTTAAAGAAAGAAAGAAAGAAGTTTGAGTTTACAATTGCCTTTATTACACAATCCAGCAATCAATAAAACAAAACAAAGTTAATAAAATAAAAACATCAAAATGCAAAAACTAAAGATTCTTCATCTACTGAACATAGAGCCCCATTAATGCCCCACTTATTTACAAAAACATTTATACTCTTTGTCAACTTAAAAAACTCAAATTCTACCCGAACACGAGCAATGACCAGTCTCTTAAATAAACACACAGGCATCTTCCGTTTGACGACCATTCATTTTGTTCTTTCTTGATATCCATATTGCTAGTTTTGCCATTGCAGAAATGAAATTTAAAAGCACATGAACAGATCTCTTGTTTGCACAATACCGAGGACCATAAATAAAAATACAGCTGGAGGACTGAACACCAAAACCACTAAACAAACGATCCAAAAGAACAAAAAGAGGATTCAATCTTAAACATTCAACAAAAAGATAATGCAATGTTTCCTCCTGTAAACAAAAAGGACAGTTAACACTGGCGCCAGGATTAAGGAGTGCCAGATA